GTCACGCTGAATGCAATGGGGGGGGGGTGAATATTAATGGACCCTATCCAAGATCACGTTCCGAGCACATAAATTCGACAACGGAATGGATTGACAGACGTTATTTGTGCCTTCCGGTATGCCAGTAAAAGATGCACTGAGAGACAGCCAGTCGAGGTCAAGAATCACGAGCTGGGTTTCGCTGGAGTACAAGCGTAATCTCGGTCAGTTATTAACCAGAGATAGAAGCAGAAAGCGGAGAATATATTATTCTGGAGGAGCATTTTCTTGCATTCATGGCGCACCGATAATGAGGGCAAGTCTGATAGCAGAACATTGTTAAAGTTGCGCATTTCTTTGCAAGTTAGCCGATTTGTGGCAGCTTCGATTTTAATCCCTTATTGTGATGTCAATCGTTCTACACCCGTTTTATTTTGAAATGCAAAGGATTTAAACAACTGTCACATAATGCTATTTTTCAGTACGCTCGAGTGATCCAACTGTACATCTGTTATTTGCTGCCAGCTCTTTGGCTTCGTCATTTTGGGAATTCATCCACGCGACATGCCCATACCCTCGCAAGTGTCATCCCCCCGGCTTTCCGGAGTGTATCAAATCACCACGTTCCGCTTCTTGCTATGACGTTATGCCAGCAACCCTTTGAAGGAGTTTCAGTTCATCTGATATTTCTAGAGAGTTGACTCGTTTGTCTTTTTGAAAGGTGTCAATGTCTTTCATATTGTTTGTGCCTGTTACTTGAATGTCACTTTGGGTGCGCTTTCTCTGTCTCATTTGCTCTAAAGATGACTAGTGCTGTTTGACTGAAACGTTCGCGATTTCCGTCCCCGTTCATATTACAAAAATATCGTCATCAGTTTGCGTTTTATTGCAACAGTCCATCGACTTGTAGAGGTGAAACCTAAAATCTATTAGTTATCATTAAAATTAATGGCTAAAATTGTTTCGTTAGCATAAACTCTTTGTTCTAAGTAATATTAGTTACATTTACCTTTCGGCCTGAATCTGTTTCCACTCCTTCGTCGCTGCCAAAGTAAGGTTAAATTCAAGGTCATCTCTAAGAATGGCATCACCTCGATGATGATGATAACATGTTGTGTGGCGAACATTTTACGACGGAGGATCTGCTTAAAAGCTAGGCTGCTTACCAAATGGATTGTAAAAGTTAAAAAAATTTACATAGGGAAAAAAAGAAATCGGATTAAAACTCGTGTAAAAGAAAATACTGTTGCGCTTGAGAAGAACATTCGACTACTGATAAATTGTATCGTTCAATACCAAGAATGTGATTTTGGATCAAGACAACACTGTTACCGGGCTCATGATAAAGTAATCGGCCTTCATTAAAGCTTTTGGCGCAGCCTGTGTTAATGACGAATTAAGCATCAAAGATATATTTTCTAGTCGGAACCTCATCTTAAATAATAATAAGTTTTTTCTATTTAATATTTGTTTTCATGTTCTGTTTTCTACCTGTTTTTAACTTTTGATTTCTTTTCTACTGATTTCTTTCCTTTTTATCCCATCCTCCATTTGTTCCCCTTTCATCTCTTTTTTATTTGCATTTCATGTCTCTGTTACAGTGCTTTAATTGTAATTATCTCTATGACTACCATATCTTCGCTGTATATCATAATTTGTGCTAAAGAAGTAACACCATTCTGAGTTCCGAAAGCTTCACTTATGAAATTGCTTTATTCCAGGCTTCTAATCGTGTTTTGTATTAATATACTACTCTAACAGCACGGATATCTCTTACTGTATTGTCGGCATTTCCAGCAGAATTTGCCATAGTTATTGCTTGTCTAGAACCATTGAATTTAGTTATTTCGCTTGTTTTCAGTATACACTCTTTCACTTTCCAGTACTTGTGACCATTGGTTCGTATACAACAAACTGGCGTTGCTACCCAACTACGGTATTAGCGCATTTGCTTCAGTTACTAGTCCATTTACACGTTTCATTTGCATTTTACCTGCCAACGTTGAAGAATATTCTTTTTAAATTTTCATTACTTGTTTCTCGATTTAACTTGAAAATCCTACGCAGGATCTTCAGAACATGCGAGAGATTATTTTGGCGTCATAACGTTGTTGCAATTTCCATTACATCATAGATAGGCGCCTATTTAACATTTTTTGCTTATTATATATTTACAACTAGCGGAATAAAAATGCGGGTTTACTTACAAAGGCACCATGCGTTGAATCTTTCGTGTTTGTAATAAAATAATGAACGTAAAAGACTACGCTTGTAGAGAAATTTTTAAGGATCTTACTTACATCTTAGTTTCATAATATATGTTAATGGTCATAATTAGTAACTGAGAAAAACGAAAAACATTTCAATCATCCGTAGATCAAAAGAGTGTAGTACGAGCCTGTTTCAGGATATGGAAATGGCTACTGACACCACGAGTGAAAACTGCAAAATATAATTTAGCTTATTATCACATTTTCTTTCCAAAACCAAACTACACGGCGTGCTGAACTGTTCCTCTGCTGCAAGTTGCTGTGGAAGGACCATTTAAGCAGATCATGGCACTATGGCATTTTAGCACTAGCAGCACTAGGTGCATCTCGCACTACTTTATTTGCTGCAGCATTCTCTTGTTCATCGCAAATTTTGCTTATCTTAAACTGAATGCAAGAACAGTACATGAGCATATTAGAAATTTTACTTCACACAGCAAAAGGTCACATGCGAAAATCCTCAGAAACGAAGCTTTTGGAAAAACCAGCGATTCTTCCCTGTTTTGTACCTAAATAAAAACCAAGTTAAAATTTAATAAAACATTTATCATCAGTAAATAGAAATTTAGTTGCCCAAAAGCAAAGAACTGAAAATACAAAGCAACGACTTGTTTAATACAAGAAAACAACAGTTGCGACGAAAAAATTGGGGGCTTCATCAGTTCTAAAGACAGCTCGCCAAAACAGACAGCAGGCTACTTGCCGTTCTGACAAATGATGATTGATTGACTAGTCCAACGCAGTTCAGACCAGTTACGTAAGAACATGAACGTGCAAGTTTAAACAGTGCTGTTACGCCGGAACTCTCAGATTTAGATAATCCATCAATATAATGCGAAGGACCTTTATCTTTACAGTATGGTATCTACCATCTAGCATTTTTCATCTGCCTTGATTAAGAGTCACCATTTTACATTCAGAAGAGAGACAATGTGATTGATTAAAAGATTTCACTGTGATAACCTTTGGAATCAATACGGAGAGTGATCCTTCAAATTTCAGGACTCACACATAACTGCTTTTCCCTAGACATAATCACTTTAAAGTTAGAAATTCCGTCAACACCAAGTTTCGTCAGACAACTTTTTGAAGGACATAACCAGCACAACTACCGCAATTGGCTTTGAGTATATACTGTATCATTTCTTAGCATCATCATGCAATTTTGCATTAATTTCGTTACCAGTACCTGCCAATCATACGCAATGGCTACATTTCAAAGATTACACTGGAATCGAAATGCAAAGCAGTGAAGGACGAAGCTCATCACGATAGTCTTTAACGGATTTACCCTGCAGTGGTAAGTTACACGTATATTCCTACTTAATATAATGTCCAAAAATTACCCAGTATTATCTAAAATGTCAGGAAACTGTACATGCACAGAAAGTTACGCACTATTGTCACGAAGAACTACATATTTATGTAAAAACTTCGTGATATTTTTAAAACGAGGAACAGTGGATATTGTATCGGGATTATCACAAATTTGGCAATCCTACTTATTAATGTTATTCTGCCAAGTCATCGTACCCCTGAATGGGGAATTATCCCCGATACTACATTAGTTCCTGTCATAGGGCTAGTCTTGCGATTGCCAATACAGGTCTCGTGAATGCAGCTGATGCTGTCTGAGTTCGAAGGCCGAAGGTTAATTGCTTCATACGAAACATCTATAGCATTTTTTTCCTGCTAATAAATTTATTCTGATTTGCATTAAGTGTCTAATAAACCGCTCTACTGAATGACTGACTGACATCTAAAAATGACTCAAGCAAAGGTGTTTCAGAATGCTGCGTTGCAAAGCTTGTCGACCATCATCAGACAGCCTTGAAGATGGGTCATTTTTACTGTGTTGTATCCGCGATCACAACCATATGAAAATTTGCCATCTTTTGTTAGCGTATTGTTTTATTACTAGAGGAGCTGAATATCTATTGTATCATCTGAAAATAAAACAAATACCTTTCCTGCAGGGCTTGTTTAACCTCCCGAAGCGCCTTGCGCTTTTGACCTGCATCACGTAGACACTCTCTGTTTACCAAGGCTTTGTTGAACGCAACATCGACCGAATATCTAAATGAGATAATCAATACAAACGTAAAAGTGAAGACAATATCGCTAAGTGAGGCTAGAAAGTTTTCCGACAGCTTGTCATTATACAACAATAATTTACGTGACCATTTTAAAATTAGGCACAGCATAACATGGCGAAACAGAGCTGATTGTAATGTCGGTAGCCCCATATAATAACCGTCAAAGTTTATCACGAATTCTGGCTTAAACTGCGCATCAGTCAAACAACAAAGTAAAGAAAATCAAATGACAGTGCTCTTTATAACGAGGGTACTCTGAAAGGACTGAGCCAGGGTATGTAAGATATACAAAAAAAGCATGGCCAGACGACTTTCAGATCGTGTCGTTGACTACGAATCAGGTGATGATCAAAACGCTGTGAGGGAAGATATGAAAGAAATTATGAACATATTTAAACTCATGTCATCAAGACGCCAACCGATCCGGATATCTGACATAAAATCATATATCCTATGGTTAACCCCCCCCTGAATGGAGAATCACGATTGTTGTTATTGACATTATAACCAATCGTTCAAATATAATACTGACAAAGGAAACGTTTAGGCAAAACGTAGTCTAAATAACGTACCTGGTAGGTAGCAAATGCGTGTAGTTGTATACGCGAATGAACGGTCTAAGTTTAGAGCGTTGTTCAATTTTCTTTTTGCTCATTTTCCGTATAACCTTCCTCGGATAACGGTCGATTCCGACAACCAAGGCATGACCGTACGGTCGATCCGCCGTACCTTCGTCATAGTTCTGAAAAATGCATCATAAAACAACTATTAAACAATAAAAAATAACACATCATCTTCTCAACATGTTTTAATAAATTAAAATAAACAAACAATTAAATATTTACCTTGACTACTATTCCTTTACGGCCAGCAAAGCGTCCAGAAAGGACAAGGACACATTTAGTGGGTTTCATTATTTTCCCCATGATGAAAAACGTGAGGAGCTAGAGCGTGACAAACTAAAGCACCAACATCACATTCGGTCAATCAAGAATCAATTGGCATATCGTCTTTTCGACATAAAAACGCGGTGAATACAGAATGACAATATTTGAGCAAAAGGACTGTCAAATCATAGAGTACAATACTAGTAGGAACAGTATAGAAAACTACAGTTCTGATGCAGAGGAAAATAATTATTGCAACATGTTAAGTAACTCAATAATTAATATTCTTGACTCCTAAATCGGTTCCTGTTGCTTCACTATTGCTGAAGATCTCTTCATCTTCTCCTGGAAGGAGATTCAACGTAATGTCCACGCTTGCCAGGCGCACTGAACAGGGCATCCACTTTTCTTTCATTCCAAACCCTTGGGTTCCAAACTGCGAAAGTGCGGCTTCAGCCTCTTAGAGCTTTCCTCAGTGAGCTGAAGCACAGCTGCTTGCTCTCTGTATCACGAAGTTGTGCCTCATCTCGCAGAGTAATTTAATGATAAATTTTATTCAGTACAT